CATTTTATGAGACCATCTTCCCCGTATGTTATTTATAAATCATCTCTTATGGTTGTTATTTTCTTTGTAAAATATAGATGCTATAACTACATCAACTATGGATACAATAAATTTGAAGTGTCAAAATATGTGTTAAACTGGAGTTCAAATCATCCCCCCACAACGTCCCACATCACATTCCCGCCATGTATTAAGAACATCTCCGATGATAATACCAGGAATGATGATGTCATCATTGGGAGATGTTCCCAATACACATCAAGAATGTGCTGTGGAACGTTGTGGGGGACAGTCTTGTGGGGGTCTGATTCTGTCTCGTTAAACTGTGACTTTTGATTGTAGAATGATAGTTTGAATAGGTGCCTGCAATTTAGAATTGGTTTAGTAAAGAGAATATAAGTGCAACAAACTGATAATGAATAGAGAGTAAAGAGAAAAAGAGTACACCATATTAATAGAAGTTCGACTATTTCAAGAAAATCTGCTTGATAATTTTAATCCACTGTAACAGTCAACAAGTACAACAGTTGGTGGATACAGTGCCAACATCTTAGACCACTATTTCAGTCCCCTGAAGTAGTCTTATACTCCTACTAGTTTGATGCAGTGCTAGCACACTCCAAGAGCTCTTTAGCCCTTTGTAATCTTCACAACTTTTTTCAGAGGATGTTTACAAGAAGAACAATCAAAACCCCACTGAATAGATGTATCAATACAGCTCAAAGATTCAAATCAAATCCAACAACTAGGGCTTCAAAGATTTTATCTCAAAATTTTCCTTCTTATCTTCCTCTTATTTGTTTTTTAAAATTTGAACCTCTTAATATCTTTGGTTTAACTTGAGCTTTTATAGAAATGACCTTAGTATAATCATTTGAAATAAGGTCAGAAACATTAAATGCTTTTTAGACCATTTAAAACAAAGCAATAAATACGAATTACAATATTTTAAAGGGTAAATTATAGAATCTTCCCTTGAGTTTTTTGGCAATCCTACAAACATCCCCTAAGTTTTGATCCTAACCAAAACCTCTTCCCCCAAGGTTTTAAGAAAATGTACAAATACCTCCCTTGGTTTTTTTACCCTATTTTAAAAAAACAAAGTAATTGCCTAGAGGATGCCTCCCCATTTGTTTGGAGATGACTCCTTAAGGTCCAAGCCCAATCCTGGGTTTCCAAGGGTGATTTCCCTATTGCCTTGCCTGGGGATGTCCAATCATCCTCATTTCCTAGTGTTGTTTCCTGAGCCTCTACTGAATTTGATTTTTGATAGTCTCTGACCATTTCTCTTTATATTAAGTATAAGCTCATTCTAACATGTTCTGTGGTCAATATGCTTCAAATGACTTACCCTAAGGTCCAATCTAAGTTGCAACAGCGGTGGCGGGAAGACAGGGGGAGAGAGAGAGAGAACAGGGTATATTTTTGACTCTAGGTCACGTCTGAAATGCGTCTAAACACGTTAAGTGACGGGCCTGAGTCTTAAAATTTCAGATCTAAAAAAACTTTTCAGATCATATTTCAAATAATGCAACACCATATAAGCATTGTATATGAAAAAACATATATTTCTGACTTCAGATGTTTGAAGTGTTATCAAACACCACCTAAATGCCTATTCTAAACACTTTTCCTTGACCAAGGAGCAACACCCATCTTTGTTCCTTTGCAAGCCAATTAAATGAGAACAATTTGAAATCCTTGTATTTTATTAGGTTGCAAGACTTAAAACATTTTATTAGTATTAACTACTCATAGTGAGTTTGTTAACATAAAAACACACATGGCATTAATCCAAAGTTAACAATATAAAAACAAGATTTTCAAAAAAAAAATTGAAAATACAAAAAGGTTGTACATCACATGGGTCCCAACTAGTAATATCCTTAATATTGAACATGGAAAACGTTCCTAAATCCTTTTCTAACTAAAATATTTCAGTTATTAA